TTTCTTCCGAATCTTCAAGATTGTATAACTTGCTGTATTTGTTTTTAGGTTTGTTATCTTGTTAAATAACTAAATGACCGTGAGCAAGATTTGTCTTACATCGCTTAAACTGAGCTCGGGCTCACAAAGAACTCCACCTCGAAGTCAATCCTTCCACATCAATCCCAAAAGGATAAGTCTTGTAAAGGATAGGTGCCCTTGTATTCTTCTTTTAAAGAGATACAACAATAAAAAGGAACAGGGAAATCAACGGGCTATCTAAATCTTTCATAAAAGCACAAGACTGATAAAACACAATCAACGACTTCCTGGGGGTGGGGGTGGGGCAGGTAAAATAAATGGCAAATAAATAATAAGTTCCTCCAAGTCTTGGATCTCCAGGTGTCTTGTGCTCCTCTAGCCACTCCCAGTCCTGCTTGGCTTGCCTTTGTGTGAGGCTCTGTCCCCAGGGAGACAAGCTGCAGTGACTGCAGAGCTGGGGCGTGAGCCTGATCCTATCCCTTCAACCACCGCGGTGGCGGGGGGGCCGCCCCCCCCCCACTGCTGACAAAGCTAAAGCTAACTCCGTTTCATTATTAGCCTTTCTCTCTCAGTTCCACTAAAGCCCTAAGCAAAAACGGAAACATGCAATGGAGCGCATTAGCACCTACACAAATGTCTTCATCATTTTCAAACACGGGAAGCAGACACTTGCAGGTAGAAATCTACATTTTCAACCCCTTGCTGGCTTCTCCTAAGGAGCCTTTGCAACAGAGATTCCAACCACCAGAACACCTTGCTAGGAAAATTAGCTTGCACAGTTTTAGCTTTGCTACATGTAAATTTGTTTCAAGATTTAAAAGGTCTCCTGGAACACAGAAGGAAAAAAAACCACAAAATTTATTGTTTAACTCTCTGCAAATTGTATTTCACAGTCCGTGGAGGCTCAACACTACCAGAGTTCTGTTTGTACACGAAATTTCAGTCTGATCAATGTGTCAACGAGCAATTGTAGGACCGAGACAAATGGCTAGTGAGGTCATCCATTAATAAATACGTTCAATCTAATTTTTATTATTTACTAGCTATTTTCTTCTTGCAAAGATGAATGTTAACCAATTAAACAAAACCAGTCTAGATGTCTAGATAATTAGAACATTTTTCCAAGTGGCTTAATCTGCATAAAGTCATTCAACAGAAATAATAAAAACAGCCTTTCTGCAATCCCACACGATAGTGGAAAATATAAATGTACAACTTGTTGGATAAAAAAATGATATGTAGGTGGTCCTGTTGAGACAGATGGCAGGAAAATAATCCTATAAAACCTTACTTCTTCCAGTGATAGTATGAGATTTTTTTAAACATTCAAATTACTAAATCAATATAAAATGTGTAAAGTATTCTGACACACACACAAAAAAAACCTGTTAATGATTCATTCAAAGGTCTTTTACAGCAACATGTGAACTTTAGCAATGTGATGTCTCCTACGATAGTGTTTCTAAGGGAAGATCGTAGTCAAGCTGTTTTTTACACCACTTTCTTAGAGGGTGGGTTCATTTTTCAAAAATGTATTCAATGGTTTTGTTCCCTTTTCTCAATGTAAAATGGACGCGCACTCTTCAAGGGACGCTCGGAGGGCTCAACACCCTGAATGCAACTAACAATGGAAACCTCAAATTAACATGAGGGACACTGTCCAGCTCTAGATTCTCATTTGCCAAACCTCTGGCTTTCCAAATGTCTTCCAGAAACAACAGGTTAAGAGCCATTAAAAGGACAGCTTGTTGCAACAAAAATGGCAGTCAGGGTAACACAATCAGCACCATCGCTTGACTTCATGGGGTTCAAACAGGTCTGGGAGAACTGACTTAGAAATATGACCTCCATGGGCACGGGTGGCTCAGTCGGTAAAAAAGGGCCAACTCTTGATTTCCGCTCTGGTCATGATCTCACGGTTTTTGAGATAGAGCCCCATGTGGGGCTCTTTGTTGACAGCATGGAGCCTGCTTGGGATTTTCTCTCTCTCTCTCTCTCTCTCTGCCCCTCCCCTCGCTCTCTCTCTCAAAATAAATAAAATAAACAGTTAAAAAAGGAAAACGGGGGCGCCTGGGTGGCTCAGTTGGTTAAGTGTCTGACTTTGGCTCAGGTCATGATCTCACGATTCGCAGGTTCGAGCCCCGCTCCGGGCTCTGTGCTGACAGCTCAGAGCCTGGAGCCTGCTTTGGATTCTGTGTCTCCCTCTCTCTCTGCTCCTCCCCCACTCATGCTGTCTCTCTCTCCTTCAAAAATAAACATTGAAATTTTTTGAAAGGAAAAAAAGAACTATTACCTCCATTTTCATACCATTGTTGCTGTGAACCTGAGTCTGTTTTTCAATGCTTTGAAGTTAAAAATGATTAAAACTGTGACTCTTTCTCTAAGAACATACAAAAGAGATAAAGGCTATGTTAAGTTGGAACTTTTTTCTTCCTGCTATTTTTTAATCTTCCTACAATTTCTAGTTTCCATATTTACAATGCTTAAAGACCCTGACCTGTTCAGATACAGAACTCCTTATGTCTCATCAGGTAATTCACAACTTCCTTCAGGAAAAAAATAAGCATTTCTGCCAAAATGTCCTGACATGTTTTAATTAAAGTCAGATGTCCTACTCTAGTGACCCCCTTCCCTGCCACCCTACCCCCCCTCCACCATCACCACTCCCAGCCAGGTGATCCTCAAGAACTAAGGGTAATAACCACCTTGGTCCCATTCTTTTAACCAATCCAACAACAATTATCTCACCATTTCTCTTGTTCTATGACATGTCCCCACCAAGAGGAGTCTTTGAAGTGCCCTGCTAGGGATTTCCTTCCTTGAGGCAAGTTTGAAATAAAAATTGGAAACATGCTCGAAACGTTGTTGAAAACTATCTTTAATGTAAAGGGGAAAACAAAGGGAGAAAATGGGGGGGGAAGGGGGGGAAAAAGTCTTTTATACCGAAGAATGCCAAGTGAAGAAATGTAGAAAAAATAGTGGATAAGAGTGTCCCCATTTTGCAAACCTCCAACGGGAGTCAGGCAAGAATCATCAGCGGATGCTAAGACATCGTTTGGCCACAGTACGGTCTATATCAACGTGCCATGTTACCCCACAGTGAAAAGCTTCTTTTTTTTTTCTTTTCTTTTTTTTTAAGTTTATTTATTTTGACAGAAAGAGCACGGGAGGGCCAGAGAGAGAGAGGGAGCTGGAGAGAATCCCAAGCAGGCTCTGCACCGCAGGCTTGACACAGGGCTCGAACTCACGAACCGTGAGATCATGGCCTGAGCTGAAATTGAAAGTTGGACGCCAACCCGAATGAGCCACCCAGGAGCCCCAGGAAAAGCATCTCTCTAATGAGGAGATCTGGTATGAGCCCTTAACCAAATCATCAAACTTAGCATCGCCCAGAGTGGGGCCACCCAATGTTCTAGACTCCTGGTGTGATGTTAACAGTAAGCACTAAATATCAGGGAGGTGTATGCTGGCTAAGAATGTTCCCCAATCATAGAAAAACAAACTGGATAAACCCACTATGCATGAAACTGGCCAGGCTCTCCATAAAAATAAATCCCATGAAAAACAAGAAGATGGGAGACATATTCTAGTTTAAGAGACTAAAAAGAAACATAGCTGAATGAAATTTGGGAACCTTGAGGAGATCCTGGATCTTTTTTTTTTTTTTTTCAACGCAGGTATGAAACCCATTTAAGGAATAGGGTAAGTTTGAATATGGACTCTATTATTAGATGATAAAATTAATGTTAAGCCTCTCACGTGTGATAATGGTACTGTGGTGAAGAAGAATGAGGAATTTATTCTTACGAGTCAGTGCTAACCTCTTGCCAAGTATTCTGATGTCTCAGAGTTCAAACAAAAGGACACATGTAAGAGACCAAAAACAAGTCTGGCAAAATGTTCATGACCGGTCAGTCTTGAACTGCTTCTGTACAATTATGTTTAACCAACAGAAATTCTCACCATTACGCCTTCCTACTACAAAACATTTTTTTTTTAATTTTTTAATGTTTATTTATTTTTGAGAGAGAGAGAGAAAAAGTGTGAGCAGGGGAGGGGCAGGGAGAGAGGGAGACACAGAATCAGAAGCAGGTTCCTGGCTCCGAGCTGTCAGCACAGAGCCCGACGTGGGGCTCAAACCCACGAGCTGGGAGATCACGACCTGAGCCGAAGTCCGACGCTTCACCGACAGAGTCACCCAGGCACCCCAGAACATTTTATTATTTGAGCAACTCCCCCATCCACAAGCAGAATTTATCTTAACAGAGAAGAGCTTAATAGTCATGGCTGTTAAGAACGGTTTTTCAGAAACCAGAAGAGCACTGCTTCAATTACCAGGGGCGCAGAGCCCACAACATTCACACGGATGCATCAGGGTGCTTGCTGCACAGTCTTCCGGAAGGCGTCTTTAATTTTCTCTTTACGTGGATGAAGATAGACACTGGAAATTTCGTTCACTAAAAACAAACTGGATCGACGTCATCAAGGAAACGCAAAGCAAAACCACAGTAAGATACAAGCGCTGCACACCCACTAAGATGACTATAATATTCACAAGGGCAGATGAACCAAGTACCAGGGAGCATGTGGAGAAAATGGAACCCTTTGCCACTTCTGGTGGGAAAGTAAAATGGCACAGCTGCTTTGGAGAAGTCTGGTAGTCACTCAAAAACTTACACATAGAGGGGTGCCTGGGTAGCTCAGCTGGTTAAGCGTCCAACTTCAGATCAGGTCATGATCTCACGGTTTGTGGGTTCGAGCCCATATCAGGCTCTGTGCTGACAGCTTAGAGCCTGGAGCTGCTTCGGATTCTGTGTCTCCCTCTCTCTCTCTGCCCCTCCCCCACTCATGCTCGCTCGCTCTCTCGCTCTCTCTCTCTCAAAAATAAACATTAAAAACTTAAAATAAAAAAATTTTTTAAAAATGTAGTTTTTAAAATGTAGCTCTGATTACTAAGGACACTACTCCATATAGACCAGTGCAAACCACAGTACAGTATTTTTATTAATAAAGCATTAAGAGTATACTTGAAATGCTGTGTATCAGCCACCCTCCCTCATTTTATACTATTGTCAACATAAAATCAATTAAAACCCCCAGCTATCGGCGCTTCTGGGTGATTCAGTCGGTTAAGTGACTCGGCTCAGGTCATGATCTCACGGTTCCTGGGTTCAAGCCCCGCTGTCAGCACAGAGCCCGCTTCGGATCTTCTGTTCCCCGCTCTCTGCCCCTTCCCCACTGGTCCTCTCTCTCAAGATAAACTTAAAAGAATAAAGATAATAAACAATAGTGATTTACCTCCCTCCCGCTTATAAGTTAGATCCTCTTTCATCCGAAATTCCCTCCCACGCTGATCTGGTTTTTCAACGATCTTAAAAAAAGAAAAATACTAAAGAAATCATCTAAAACACTTGTCATTCTAACGCTTCATTTTCAGGCACACCTTTTCACACTTAGCCGCGTACATATACTATAGAGAAAGAATTGCTATTGTGAAGTCAGTTCTGCATACTCCCCCGCACTCTGAAACCACACATTTGGCCAGGATGCCACAAATTCCTCTCACGACCCTTTAATGACAAGGATCTAGTCTATGCGCCACACGTAATTCACTTGGCCGATCTTTCCGTACCTTAAACAAGGCAGCGATAAACAGTGGTAATAATCATCGCATGGCATATAGTTTTCCTGCTCTTGTATTCCTTTTTTGCTGACCTTCCAAAATTAGGCGTGCTGGCACAAAAAAGCGTGAACACTCGACATGGTCCAGTGCGTCGCCCAATTGCTTTAGAATTTGGTTTTTCAAAAAGCACAGGAACTCGTGCATCTCAGGGCGTTTTTCTCCCGTTCGATTCGATGCACTTCTCTCCACCTGTCCTTACACAGCCCCAGTATCTTTCTCTGTCCTGTACTGTGTGCTTCACGTCCGTCTGCTTTGGTGCGGGGAGAGCTACACAGTCCTTCCTCTTTATCCCAACACTGTCGCCATGCCAAAGTTTGAAAAAAAAGACACAATCCAGCCTCACTTTCTAATTTTTCAGTCATTTGCCAATTTGAGACATCTGCCCTCACTTCTGACGCAAGCTGGTAAAACATTAACTCTGGCCAGGCCGAGGGAGTTCTGTAGCTGGCGAAGCTTACTAGGATGATGTGTCAACTATGTTTATCCAACCGTACGTTTGACCACATTTAAGGAGAGTTGCTGAACTATTCAATTTTGTCACATCTCTGCTAGAATCTGGAAACGCTATCAGTCTTATCTCAAACACTCTATAGTACAGAAACCTGAAAACAACAGAAAAAAAAAAAGAAGCAGAGGGTTGATTACTGGGTTTATTTTTAGTGAACCCAACCTGACTTCTGGTGATCACCAATTTTTTTTTTCACATATCCACTGAGTAATCCATTCTAGGCCAAGAAGAATATTATAATCACGGTTAACTGCAGTTCTTTATGATGAGGGAAGATTGATAGGGGATGGATGGGGTAAGGAAAAAGAATTGCCTTTTATGTACCTATGTATGTACTGTTCCGTTTTTTTTTAATGTTTATTTATTTTGAAAAAGAGAGTGAGCAAGCCTCAGAAGGACAGAGGGAGGGAGAGAGAGAATCCCAAGCAGACTCCGAGCTGTCAGCACAGAACCTGTTGCAGGGCTTGATCCCATGAACTTCCAGATCATGACCTGAGCCGAAGTCAGATGCTCAAACGACTGAGCCACTCCTGCGCCCAAAACATAGAACATTTTTGACTTAAAAGGCTTTGCCCCCAGCCCTCAAGGCAGGTCAGTAGTTCATTTACACCTTTCAGGACCTCTCCTTGCTCCTGGCTTCTCCACTGTGGCAAACTTAGGAGTGTCAGGCTACCCTCCAAGAGGATGTTCTCTTGTTTACTTTCCTCTTTTTCATTCCATCCCTTCTGTATCCCACTAGCTTTTCTCACAGAAGTCTCCTCTCCACCTGCCCCAATCTGGAAAACGCAATCGACAGGGAAGAGGACAGTAGGTATAGATTCGAGGTGGGTGGGCTCAGCTTGAAGGGACAAGAGACAACGGGACAGAGGTGTCCCAGATGGAGACGGACGGTTTCAGAACCCAACAGCGCACAAATGTAACGGAAGCCAGGCCAGTGGATGATACAGCTCACGAGAGCCTGTGGTGTAACAATATCTGAAGAAGTAACAGAAGGAATTTAGTAGTTTTTGAACGGGGGCCTCCCAGACCCGTTTACTTTGAGTTGTGAGTTAGAGAAAGCCCAAAGCTTCTAGTTCAGCAAGTGGTACTTCTGCCTTTACATTACCAGACTCTAAGAGGATCATCAGCGTGTGAGTCACAGAACATTGAACTTTAAAAGAAGACAGGATTCTGGAGGTCACCTCAACACCTCTTTACACGTACAAGAAATCAATCTAAAGGCAGAGAACTTCGGGCAGCAAATGGTCTGGTTTGCAGGCAAAGAAAATGTGCTTGAGCTCTGAAGTATAAGGAAAGTAATGCCCAGAAACGTTGTCAACACCTTAGACTTGGTGGGCACTGTGGAATGTCTCTCCAGCTGTCGGGGGCTGAGGCAGCCTTCACGTGTGAAATCGTCCTGATACACGCTGGCTTCTCTAAGATTCCCTCCCATACTAAGCCGAGCTGTTCGCAAGAAAAGTTAGAAAGGCTTTAGGGATTTTCTTTTTGGAGGTGGGGAGGAGAAGGAAAACACAGACTTTCTAAACGTCAGTTAATTCGTACTGGACATTATTTGTTGAAAAGGAAAATGACAATAAATCAAATGTTTGAACCTTTAAGTCAACTGCCTAGGTTTCTGCTTCAAACAGAATTCGCAATATAAAAGCCGACCCAATCACGAAATCCATGCATAGCCCAAACCGCAATGATGTTTCCGTACAAATATGATGAAGATACCACAGTCTGCATCGATGATGGCCAAGGTGGCGGAAAACGGACTTCAGTCGTGTCGCCATTTCTCGGAGGCCATGTGACTACTGCACCACAATGGGAAAGTACTTACAATTAGACATACGATGTTTACATTCATGATTACCTTGATTGAAAGGGGAAAAAAAAAATGTATAGAAGATCAAAAGAAAACATTTAATAAACCATTGGCTTCTGGGCGCCTGGGTGGTTCAGTCAGTTGAGCAACCAACTTTGACCCAGAGCAGGATCTCAAGGTTTGTGAGTTTGAGCCCTGCATCACGCCCGATGCTGTTAGTGTGGAGCTCACTTCAGATCCTCTGTCCCCTTCTCTACCCCTCCCCCCTTCGTGCTCTCTCTCTCTCTCTTTCTCTGTCTCTCAAAAATAAACATTAAAAAGAAAAAAAGAGGGGCGCCTGGGTGGCTCAGTCGGTTAAGCGTCCGACTTCAGCTCAGGTCACGATCTCGCGGTCCGCGAGTTCGAGCCCCGCATCAGGCTCTGGGCTGATGGCTCGGAGCCTGGAGTCTGCTTCCGATTCTGTGTCTCCCTCTCTCTCTGCCCCTCCCCCGTTCATGCTGTGTCTCTCTCTGTCCCAAAAATAAATAAATGTTAAAAAAAAAAAAAAAAAGATGCAACTTGGGGAATAAAGAATACGGGAATGATAGGTGCGTAACTGGAAGCAAAGAAAGTCTGGAGGGCTATATACACCTACAAGCAGAGGGCCTCTCCAGTTACAGGGTCCAGGGTACTTCTAACTTTATAACCATCTACATCTATAAAGCAATTATATGTATAGAAAAATGGGTAGAACCAGGAAGACTGTTTCCCCACCCCCACCCCCACCTTTTAGTAACTACTTCCCAAAACCTCATTTCCTCATGTTTGCCTTTGTGGAAAAGCAGCCTACGGACACTCAGTGTTGCTCCTACCCATCCAGTGGCCTGGGCAGTGGGGGCTTCCAGTCGCAAGACTAGTTTTTAGATGAATGTTGCATGTATGACATAGAATATTTAAAATTTGGGAACAAGGAAAAGATCTAAGGGACCAGAACTGGAACCAACAAACACTTCACGGCGGCCTGGACGTTGATAAATGACAGGAAGAGAAGACGAAGACAGGGATACCATTCTCCAAGAGTTCCCCTTTATGGGAACACAGCGGGGCCAAAGGGACAGAAGGCAGGCTCCCCCTGAGGTAAACTTGTCTAATGCCCAGACCTATACATGGGACTGAAACTTGGTGGACATAATTTAGTGTTAAAACCCTGGGATCGGCTGGGAGATGGTGCTAAGGGAGGAAATGTGTTTGAAATGGAATGGAATTCATCAGGGCCCAGTAGGAAGGATGAGGAACTGGGATGTCAGGCAAGCAGAGCAAAACAGGAAGGGAAAAGGGGGTGATTGCAGGGGCCTGGCTGTCAGTTACAGCCAAATTAAAGAGAAAAATAAGTAGTAATGCTTCGAATTTAGGCTGTGCAACTTACCTCCGAACCCAAATTGCTCGTACAGCCCAGCATCAGCTACTTCCAGGCCATGATGGAGTGGGCAGAGTCGGGACAGTGGAGAGAAGAGGTTGGCTAATGAAGATGAATCATTTGCCCCTTAAAGATGTAGTAACGTATCCTAAAATACTTAGAAATATAGTGCATTTGGTACCTTAGGAGCTGTCTAGTATCCCCTCAGTTAACAAAAGACATCGAAGGAGAAGGAAGAGGAGGGAGAGGGGGAGAAGAGGAAGGAGAGGAGAAGGGAGAAGAGAGAAGAAGAAAAGACATGTTCTCTTGGCCTCACAGCCAGGATCCCTTCACACTGCAGTGGTCCTGGACCCACCAGCCCCAAAACTGGGAGCTGAGCCAACCACAGGGAGACCCTAGTATTAAACTCAAGAGCTAGTGAAACAAAAGCTCCACTTCCTAGTTCAATTTTCACTTTGATGGCTCATTTTCTTTTTAAAGTTTATTTATTTGAGAGAAAGAGAGAGAGAGGGGCGCCTGGGTGGCTCAGCTGGTTGAGTGCTGGACCTCAGCTCAGGTCACCATCTCGCAGTTCGTGGGTTCAAACCCCGCGTTGGGCTCGGTGCTGACAGCTCGGTGCCTGGAGCCTGCTTCGGATTCTGTGTCCCCCCCTCTCTCTCTGCCCCTCCCTCACTTATGCCCTATCCAGCTCTGTTTCTCAAAAATAAACATTAAAAAAAAAAAAAGTTACACTCAAGAAAAGGGTCAGTAAGTGGGCATATTCGATTAATATAGACTTTGTATACACTGATTTAAAAAATAAACCCAATAATAGCCAATATTTACTCAGAAGCAAGAATCAGTACCTTATGCCTAGATTGACCTGCTCCAGTTTATTGTGGCCTGAAACAATCTCCCAAGAATAGCCCTATGGTGACTTTTGATTTTTTTTTTTTTTTTTTTTTAATGTTTTTTTTCAAGTGACACAATGGGACGCGGGGGGGGGGGGGGGGGGGGGGGGGGGGCGCCTGACACAGGCTCAAACCCACAAAACGCAACATCACTACCCAAGCCGGAAGTCAGACGCTTAAGCGACTGAGCCACCCAGGCGCCCCCAAATTTTTGTTAATGTTTATTTCTGAGAGAGAGAGAGAGAGAGAGAGAGAGAGAGAGAGAGAGAGAGAGACACGGAGCACAGGAGAATCCCAAGCAGGCTCCGTGCTGTCAGCACAGAGCCCCACGCAGGGCTCGAACTCGTGAACCAGGGGATCACGACCTGAGTCTGATCCATCAGAGCTGACTGAGTCTGAGTCCATCAAGAGTCTGATGCCCAACCGACTGAACCACCCAGGCACCCTGACTCAGATTTTAAAAGCAGCAGCTATCTTAAAATTTTTGCTCAGTTACAATCCCAAATACAGTTATTTGCTTTATTTGCTTTCATCAGACTCAAGAAAAAATAAATCAGTGTCTTTCTCAACTTTTTATCCGAAGCCCATATAAGCCAGTTGATTGGCTCATAGTAAAGGAATCATAAACTTTGAGGATTTTTCCTTCTTCATGACCATAAAAAGCAACAAGCAGATGACATTTCTCTTTACTCTTATTCGCCAGAAGAATTTGCAATTCCGTTCAAAAAGGCTCTATTTTGACCTTCCCCTGATCTCCGTTCAGGTTCACATACAGCTACAATACAACCAGTACTCCCTGCAGGAGCTCGAAAGGGTTTGAGGAACACAATTTACAGCATTTAACTTCACACTAGTCCAACTGTCTTTGGCTCCAGAAAATATGGTTAAGGCAAAGTTTGAAGGCATAACGTGGCTTGCGTTAGGATATTTAGCTCTACATGCAGTTAAGTGCCATAGAAATGGAGTCTATAAACAGTTATTATTAGACTCACTGCAGACTGAAAATAATCTCAATCTGATGCAATTATCTGGATTACCTCAACAATGAAATTCATCCAAACTGTCCTCAGCCCCAATTTTTAAAAATTTTTTTGAAAATTTATTTTTTAATTTACATCCAAGTTAGTTAGCATACAGTGCAACAATGATTTTAGGAGTAGATTCCTTACTGCTCCTTACCCATTTGGCCCATGCCCCCTCCCACAACCCCTCCGGCAACCCTCTGTTTGCTCTCTATATTTAAGAGTCTTTTATGTTTTGCCCCCCTCCCTGTTCTTATATTATTTTTGCTTCCCTTCATGTTCATCTGTTTTGTTTCCCAAATTCCTCACGAGTGAAGTCATATGATGTTTGTCTTTCTCTAATTTCGCTTAGCATAATACCCTCTGGTTCCATCCATGTAGTTGCAAATGGCAAGATTTCATTTTTTGATTGCCGAGTAATACTCCACTATATACATACATATATATACACGTACATATATATATGTATACGTGTACATATATATGCACATATGTACATATATGTATGTATATACGTATACATATATATGTGTGTATGTATATATACATATATGTATGTGTGTGTGTGTGTGTGTGTGTGTGTGTGTGTGTATACATACCACATCTTGTTTATCCATTCATCTGTCGATGGACATTTGTCAGCCCCCCAAATTTTAATGATCCTTACTGTTACCTCAATTTTCTACTTCTTTCTTGGCCCTCCCCCCCACCATTAGCAAGTCTAGACATCACTTACTAAGGATAGGAAAATATGAAATATTTCATCTCAGGATGATCTGAGGCATTTCCCAAATAACATACATTTAAAAGCTGGGACATAGCCCCTATTTTCCCAGTTTAACCAGAGAGGAGGAATTTCTCTACATGTGGCTCATTTAAAAATCAGATACATAAGGGGCATCTGGGTGGCTCAGGGGGGCATCTGGGTGGCTCAGTCAGTCAGTTGAGCGTCCGACTTTGGGTCAAGTCATGATCTCACGGTTGAGGGGTTCAAGCCCTGCCTCGGGCTCTGCGCTGACCGCTCAGAGCCGCTGGAGCCTCTTTCGGATTTTGTGTCGCCTCCTCTCTCTGCCCCTCCCCCACTCGTGCTCTGTGTCTCAAAAATAAATGTTTAGAAAGAATTTTTTTTAAATATATAAAAAAAATACCATCATTTTTACATGAATGAAACGAAAACCCATCCTTCCTGTGCCCCCCACCAAAAAAGAATACATTTCCCTAATACATTAGAATTATTGTCTCAGTCTCAGATTAGGAATAACTGTTAAATTTGCGGTCCCCGTCTACATGCTAACAGATGCGGGCGTAGATCCCAACTAATTATTGGCTCCACACTACCCATCACAATAAATGCAGACGCCGCACCCAGAATTCAATGTTGTCCGCAGCAGGGCCTCAAGTGCCTCCCTGGGCTCTCCTCAACCCCTCTTCCAGCTACGCTCTCTTCTCTTGCCCAGCTTTTTTCAACTGCGTTTGCATAAAGAGGCCTACTATGTGTCCCCTTTTGGAGAGGCGTAATTAATAATTACCAACATACTAAAGATGTGGCCAAGTCCTGCAGTTAAGGAAGAGTAGGCGGCCCCATTTCATCACTTTTCAATTTTTATTATTATTGTACTATTTTTCTACGTTCTTGCCCCCTCTGAAGGGTCTCCGTTCTTCAACAATTCACCATAGATTCTATTTCCTCGATCTTGGCTCGGGCTGCTATGACAAACGACCGGGGCTTAGACAACAAATGTGTATTTTTCACACAGTCCTGGAGGCAGGGAGTCCAAGGTGAAGGTGGGGGGCCAATCTGGGTCCCGCTGAGAGGGCTGTCTCCTCATCCTATTCTCACGTGGCAGGGAGCGAGAAAGCCACCCACCTGCCTCTTCTTGTGAGGTAACTAACACGATCACGATGGCTCCACGATGGCTCCACGATGGCTCACCTTCATGACCCATCACCTCCCCAAGGCCCCATCTCTTTAATACCATCACACTGAGCGTTCCGGTTTCCGCACATGAATTTTGTGGGGACACTCCATGCATTGCATCCTCTGTGTCCCCCTTCCTGGTACCTCAGTCTGTGCTCCCTCTTGCCTCCGGACCTGTCACGGCCGTGCCCCTTGTCCAACACTCAGCTACAGTACGGTTTCCATGAGCTTAAGTCCACAATAAACTGTGGGCACTGTGGCCACATGTAGTTGCAGGAAACCGGGCTGGTCCCCTGAGGTGCTTAACACCCACTGCAAAGAAAGACCCTCCCCCCCCCCAACCCCTGTTCACTTAAAAGGAACTCTCTGCTTTTCCCTTTCTTTGTAAATATACCTATGCATAGCCTATTATCGCTTGCATACATACTCTTTAAATAAAAATTTTGAGTCTGAGATCATGCAATTAAGGAAAAAAATAAATAAAACCCACTTAATCACATCTATGGCTTCCCAGTCACTAACCTAGAGCCTTACCTTTGTTTTGGTGTTGCAAGGTGGTCTGCTACTTCTAGACCAGCCCTCCTAGAGGCTGAGAAGTGAATCCAAGCACTTAATTTGCCGGAAGACTAAAGCACACTGGGTAAGGACGAAGCAAGGAGCCAAGGATCATAGGGACGGCTTGAGAAACTTTCTCTGACAAATGTAATACTTTAAACCATGACCTAGTTCCCTGAATACTTAAGCATTCTTTGCATTCCTTCCTCTCCTGGAGGACTGTTTATCAGGCACAGTTCCAAAAGGGACTTGAAATCTCGCTCTCTAGATAACACTGTACGTCCTCTTTGGTCACCACAGACTCTGCATATAGGACAAAAACCTTCTGAGCATTCAAAAGATCTAGTATGTCTTTAATTAGTGTGAAAAGAATAACCGACCTTCGTTTTAATCAAAGCAAACCAGCTTTCTATATCGTAACTGAGAGACCTAAAACTGCCATCGAATTGCATTTAAAGTTAACTTAAACTCTTGAAAGTTTTACAAAGAAAAAATATCAGCTATAAAACCAGATCAGCTGGGGATCTGCCCCCAGTCCTGTCAACTACTTTCTCTTTAAATTTTACACACTGACTTTTGTCAGGATTGGAGGAAAGATGGTAATAATCAAGACTGATTTAGTAAACATCAGTGGTGACATTTTCTACTGGTTTTCACTAACTTTCTTCATGGAAAACAGAGCTCAAGAACAAAAATTTCCCTTTAAATATTTAGATGAACACTACAGGAGTCCGAAATTCATGTCTAAGTGCCGAGTCACTGAATTATACACCTGAAACTAACGACACTCTGTTAACTGGAATTCAAATAAGAACTAGAGAGAGAAAGACAGAGAGGGAAGGAAGCTCATGTCTGAATATTAAACACGTCATTTCTAAAATAATGAAGAAAAATTCATCATAGAGAGCCTGGCTAATTCTTAGCAATTTCCTATAGTTGACAGACAAGCCTATCTCCACCCCGGCCCTCCAATGTACTACAGTGTACATCGACTTTAAATGCAAAGCAGATAGACCACATCTAAGGCTGAACTTTGCACAGCCTGCAATTTGTTATGGGTATGGAGTAAAACTGTTATCCAAATGAAGGATAACTTCAAACCGAAGTTTGTTTCTTTCTCTCTCTCTCTCTTTCTTTTTGAGAGACAGACAGAGAGCACAAGCAGGGGAGGGGCAGAGAGAGACAGAGAGAAAGAGAGGGAGACACAGAATCCAAGCAGGCTCCAGGCTGAGATGTCAGCACAGAGCCCGACACGGGGCGCGAACTCCCAAACCGCGAGATCATGATCTGAGCTGAAGTCGGACACTCAACTGACTGAGCCACCCAGGCACCCCTCAAACCAAAGTTTCTTAAGACGCATTCTACAGTTTGCTAACTTAGTGAAAAATTATCACGCAGCACTGAAAATGTAAAAAAAAAAAAAAAAAGATTAAAAGCCATTAGAGACATCAATAATCCTATTTTATGCATCACAACAATATATATTTTATGGAGTCAGGAAATCTATCAGGGGTGCAATGTCTTAAAAAATGTCTTTAAAAAACATGTTTTAAATTAAAAGGGTCAATATCAGGGAGTGATGATAGAAAATTGATCCTTGCTGCAGACCAAGCCCACAGTGTGTAATGGCTCAATTCAGTATAAAATCATGTGCTCAGACACGAAAAATGGCGAACCATAAATCATCCCCTGAACAAAACAGAGGGCAGGCAGTGGAGACGGAAAAAATCACAAAGAAGGGTCTTCTTTGAAAGTAAAGGTAAACATTCCACGTTACCTAGATTCCTTGCCTACAAGTGGAAGGAACGTGAGTCAACCATCAGAGGCTTTCATTTTAGGCAGACCCGATGCGCTGGGGTAAAAGTCCCTGCTGTATACAGCAGTGGGTCCGATAGCTGTTCAACCCACTGGCATCTGTTCTACCTAGATTTCTATTAATATTCACTCTTGTTTCCACTTTGTCCACAGCCACGACCCTAAGTTGCTTATACTTGACCTTCCCCTAGGCCTCCCACCTGCACCACCCAGTGATCCTGGATTGCACCCAATGCCATGGTCTCTGCTCTGACAGGGATGGCTGTTACAGAAATGGTATTGGTCTCATGGGAGTCCTCTGTCATTACCTATAAAGTCTGCTGCAAACTTCTTTTTCACAAGCCCCAAGTTGTTACTACCAAGTGATGTTCTCCCTTCCGAAGATCCTCTCTGCAGCATGAACCGTGGCTTGGCAGGGTACATTTACAGCGGTAGACAATGAACTGCAACCTACACCAGGAGGGGAACATGCTTGCCTGTCCCAGGTACTCTGCAGGCTAAGTTTTGACCGCTCCGCTCGGGTACTGTGGGCCGCCCGCATGCAAACCTATGCCCTGCACCCAATCCCCACTGGGTCCTGAGTATCTGCTACATCACCAGATCGTGCAAATGTTATCTGGCACCACCTCCCCGCAACACCCTTTCTGGCCTCATTCCCCACCCGCCCCCCACCCTCCCATCCGCCCATTCACGTGGCACCTGCATCTTCGGTTCGTTCTTCACGAGCAGCCCTCCCTGGCTCTCGGCTGCCTGTGCAGCATTCCCAACAAGCTCTATGAGCCTGCTCCTTCCATCTGCCCCTTACAAGCATGCAGCTCCTTTATCTGCTGGTCCCTCTGGCCTCCCAACTCATGGCCTCATGCACCTGCAACACTTTCCAAAATGTTTTCTCCCTACGGCAGCTATCTGGACAACTCACTGAGAAGACATGTACCAAGTAATGGCAATTCTTCTATTTTCTATCCAATTTAGTTGAACCGTTTTCATGGAGCGTTTCCTAGAGGGACCCTCTGCCCTCACTCAGACTATGAGGTACTCAGATAAAGCTGAGTGTTCTCATCTCTCCGTTTCTCAAAGCATCTAGACCAATTCCTTTCACCTGCTAAGTGGTTATGGAACACCCACTTTTTTTAATGTTTATTTTTGTGAAAGAGAGACAGAGTGCGAGTGAGGGAGGGCAGAGAGGGAGACACAGAACCCAAAGCAGGCTCCAGGCTCCAAGCTGTCAGCACAGAGCCTGATATGGGGCTCAAACTCACAGACTGGGAGATCGTGACCTGAGCCAAAGTTGGACGCTCAACCGACTGAGCCACCAAGGCACCCCTACACTTGACTACTTTTAATGCAAGTTATTACACACCAAGAAAAATTAAGCTTAGAACGTAACGTCTGCTTCCCACTTTTTTATATTTACCTACGTATGAACTCACCATTGCCATGGCAGACCAGGGTAATGTGGTGTCCCTGGTGTGTCGATGGGGACCCCCAAATGTGGGGCAACCAATGGGTGGAAGCCGGTGGCACGGGAAGGTGAAAGGATTCACCAAGGCAGAACAAAGGAGATAGGAGTTTGTTTTTAAAAAAAAAAAAATTTTTTTATGTTTATTTCTTTTTGGGAGAGAGTGAGAAAGAGGGAGTGTGAGTGGGGAGGGGCAGAGAGAGAGGGAAACACAGAAGCTGAAGCAGGCTCCAGGCTCTGAGCTGTCAGCACAGAGCCCGACGTGGGGCTGGAACTCACAGACCTCAAGATCGTGGCCTGAGCCGAAGTCGGAAGTTTATTAAATACACTGCAGGGAAGCGGCGGGCAGGAGAGCAAAGGGGAGATGGTCTGCAACAAGGCAGTGGGGGGTGGCTGTATTTAAAGGAGGAAGGTGAGGAGGTTTGGGGATGTGTGGAATTTTCCCCTTTTTTGGTAACTGTGCCCGCTTGTAAGTAGCCCCACTGGTCAGTTAGAGCCCATGGATATTTTGAGGTGGGTCGCCTGGTGGGCCTGTCTGTATTCAGCCTGGTGGTCCCTGTGGGCCCTTGTGCCTCGATCAAGTTTCCACTGCTCAAGTTTGTCTACAAGCGGCCTCTACAGGTAACACTTGAGATGTAAAATGTAAACCACAGGCCAGCTATTGTAACTGATTACATTTTTAGCCACTCCCTTAATGCTTTTAAGTTACTATAATACGAATAAACACAAAGGAAATTCCTTTTAAGAAAAAAGAAATCAGTAAGCAACAGATTTGTTGTGTGGGGAAACTCGAGTTTTAAACAGAAGTGACTATTTAATCAGTAGTCCTGGAAACAAGAGGTAACCAGTATGGCAAATAAATTTGGATCTCTCCCTCCAGACATAAAACAATTCATTTGTAGCAAGGAGTGGAAAGGAAAGCTTGTGACTTTCTTAGTCCTGAGCTCTTGGGGTTCTTTCTTTCCATCCCCAGTCCTGGCACCGTGCCCGGAGTAGAACAGAGAGTAAAGACATGTTTATGGAATCAAGACTGAGTAGTCACATGATGAGCAAGGCCAGAACCCTATTCTGATCATCAACGACTTGGTTAGGTTTTAGGATTTCTTCAAGGATTTCTGCACCAGCTGAATACCATAAACTCAGCCCTCAGTTCCTTCCCACTTACCCGGCACGGCAGAGGTTTTAAAATTGACAAATGAGGGAAGAGGTTTAAGAGGCTCCGGGTGGAAATGAACATGAACATTGACAAGAGGCTCCTCCTTGCTCAGAAAGGATAATGGCATGGAATTCAACATGTATTTATCCTGCATAGCACATTCCATTTAGAAAAGCCTCTGCTGGCAGCACACTTCTCAACGCAGTAGAATCAAGGACAGAATTATGTAGGAGGAATATTTCCCTTTATTTTCTCCTGAAAATGTGAGGGGTGGAATACCGGCTCTTCCAACATCATCTGAAACGCTCCCTCCCACCCACACGGGCTCTAACCTCGGTCAGTCTCTGCTGTCATCTTGGCCTGGACCACTTCTCCCTGGCCCTCTGTGGGCCCCTATCGCCTGTACCTCCTTCCTGAAGGCAATGCCAGCCACAGCAGGCAAATCAGAATACCTGGTGAGCATTAAGGTGCTGATTACCTGACCTTTCAGTTGCCCGGGATTCTGATTCAATGCGTCTAGGATGGAAAGCAACCAGGTTGCTCAATTGTGCAACCCGGTTCGCAATGTCTGCACACAACAAACAGAAGATCAGCCAATAAGTGGCAATAATCCTCCCCTTCTTAAATTCTAGACTTGTTTCATTTACAAATCAAACACTTTGACATTTAGTAAGTTGGCATTTACTAAAACCGGAATTAAAGTTAGGCAGAATGAAACCACAAGGCTGTCCATACTCCACCCTACTTTAAAAAAAAATTTTTTTTTTTTAATGTTTATTTATTTTTGAGAGAGACACAGAGCATGAGCAGGGGAGGGGAGGAGAGAGAGCGAAACAGAATATTAACCAGGCTCCAGGCTCAGAGCCTGACGCGGGGTTCGAGATCACGACCTGAGCTGAAGTCGGACGCTTAACCGACTGAGCCACCCAGGCGCCCCACCCACCCTGCTTTTTAAAAAAACATCACAGACAAGCTGCCTGGAAGACAAAAACCTTTCAACTCTCATGAATCTGTGTATTAAGAAAAATCTAGGGGCGCCTGGGTGGCGCAGTCGGTTAAGCGTCCGACTTCAGCTCAGGTCACGATCTCGCGGTCCGCGAGTTCGAGCCCCGCGTCGGGCTCTGGGCTGATGGCTCGGAGCCTGGAGCCTGTTTCCGATTCTGTGTCTCCCTCTCTCTCTGCCCCTCCCCCGTTCATGCTGTGTCTCTCTCTGTCTCAAAAATAAATAAACGTTGAAAAAAAAAAGTTAAGAAAAATCTAACATGGTCTGGGAAAGACCTTGTAGTTTCTGTGCTTTGAGCACCTATCTTTTTTCTGGGAAATCACATTTATTCCAGTTAACAGAGGAAGGCTATAGCTTGTGATGGGAATGAGAACAGAACCCGGGGCGGGGGTCTTCAGTCTACTGTTTTCCCAGGAGTGGAATTCTGCTCCCCCCCCCCCCACCCAGTCCCAGGTTCCAACATTTCATGGATCACAAGTATGAAGAAATTTCTGACAACTAGATGCCTTTAGATTGTTCCCAGGGGAGAAATTTTACGATTGCTAAAGAAGTAGATCACTGTCCAAGTAAATAAAGACTGTTTACGAATTTGGGAAAAAATGAGTAAACACAAGCAGTACTTCGGCCACTTTTTTTACTTTTTTTTTTTTTAACGCTTATTCGTTTTTTCGAGGGGGGAGGGGCAGAGAGAGAGGGGGACACAGAATCCGAAGCAGGCTCCAGGCTCTGAGCTGTCAGCACAGA